ATGTGAAAGTGTTAAATTTGATGTGATTATGTTTATTTTGATGTGAAAGTGTTCAATTTGGTGTGATTGTGTTGAATTTGGTGTGATTGTGTTGAATTCAATGTGAAAGTGTTGAATTTGATGGGAATGTGTTTATTTTGATGCAAAAGTGTTTATTTTGATGTGATTGTGTTGAATTTGGTGTGAATGCATTTACTGTGATACGAAAGTGTTGGATTTGGTGTGATTGGGTTGAATTTGCTGTAAATATGTTGAATTTGGTGCGAACGTGTTGAATTTGACGTTTCTCGCGCCGTGACCGTGTTTGATCTCGGAATTAACTGGTGGGAAACGAGGGAAACCTCCCAAATCCCTCCTTCCCTGGATGTTCTCCCAGATCCCTTCCAACCCTCCCCATCCCATGTTTCCATCACCTCCTTCCCCAGAGCTCTGCTGCTTCCCACAGTTCCTGGGAGGTCTCCAAGGTCTCCTTTCCCTCCAGGAGTTCCCAGGAGGTCTCCAGGGTCTCCTTTCCCTCCAGGAGCTCCAGCTCCAGCTCCCAGAGCCTCTGATGGCCCCGGATCCACTCCCGGGAGGTCTCCAGGGTCTCCTTTCCCACTGGGAATTCCTGCTCTGGCTCCCGGAGCCTCTGACAGCCCTGGATCCACTCGCGGGAGGTCTCCAGGGCCTCCTTTCCCATTGATTGCTCCCAGGAGGTCTCCCAAGTCTCCTTTCCCTCCAGGAGCTCTGGTTCCAGCTCCCAGAGCCTCTCACAGCCCTGGATCCACTCCTGGGAGGTCTCCAGGGTTTCCTTTCCCACCAGGAGCTCCCAGGAGATCTCCAGGGCCTCCTTTCCCACTGGGAGCTCCCAGGAGGTCTCCAGGGTCTCCTTTCCCTCCAGGAGCTCTGGTTCCAGCTCCCAGAGCCTCTGACGGCCCTGGATCCGCTCCCGGGAGGTCTCCAGGGTCTCCTTTCCCACCAGGAGTTTCCAGGGTCTCCTTTCCCTCTCAGATCTCCCAGGAGGTCTCCCAAGTCTCCTTTCCCTCCAGGAGCTCCAGCTCCAGATCCCGGAGCCTCTGATGGCCCCGGATCCACTCCCAGGAGGTCTCCAGGGTCTCCTTTCCCACTGGGAGCTCCTGGGAGGTCTCCAGGGTCTCCTTTCCCACCAGGAGCTCCCAGGAGTTTCCAGGGTCTCCTTTCCCTCTCGGATCTCCCAGGAGGTCTCCAGGGTCTCCTTTCCCTCCAGGAGCTCCAGCTTCGGCTCCCGGAGCCTCTGACAGCCCTGGATCCGCTCCCGGGAGGTCTCCAGGGTCTCCTTTCCCACCAAGAATTCCTGCTCTGGCTCCTGGAGCCTCTGATGGCCCTGGATCCACTCCCAGGAGGTTTCCAGGGTCTCCTTTCCCTCCGGGAGCTCCCAGGAGATCTCCAGGGTCTCCTTTCCCATGGGGAGCCCCGGCTCCCAGAGCCTCTCATGGCCCCGGATCCATTCCCAGGAGGTCTCCCGGGCTCTCCTTTCCCACCGGGAATTCCTGCTCCGGCTCCCGGTGTGTGACGGCTCCGGTTCCGCTCCCGCAGGTGCAGGACCTGGAGCAGCAGAACAAGGTGCTGACCACGAGGTGGAACTTCCTGAAGGAACAGGACAATTCCCAGTCGGACGCCGACGTCCGGGCCATCTACGAGCAGTTCATGGGCAGGATGAGCCAGGAGAGGAAGGCCCTGAGCCTGGAGCAGGAAAACCTGGAGCGGGAGCTGGAGAAGGTGCTCGGCACCATGGACGCCTTCCGCAGCAAGTGGGTGCCCGTGGCCGGCTCCAGGGCCACATTCCAAGGGCGGGTTTGGAGCTCTGGAGCACAGGGAGAGGGTGGGATCGGTCTGGGAGATCCGGCCTGGGATTCCCAAGGGAGGGACAAATTCCCAGTTTGGAACTGTTGGGTTTGGGAATCTGGGGTCCCAAACTCTGTGTGGGTAATGGGAGAGGGAGGGAAACCCATCCAAATGGAATTCCAGGGAATTCAGGGGCACAGGGAGAAGGTGGGATTGGTTTGACAGCTCCAGGCTGGGATTCCCAAGGG